AATTACAATCGTCTTAATCGTTCCGTTAAAACGAAAATATTTAAAGCAAAAATATTACATGAAAAGGAAATAATATCAAAATCTCAGAACAACCCAAAACTCGTCTACAAATACATTAACAACCAACTAAAAATTAAAGATAAAATTTGTTTTCTCAAAAACGCTTCAGGTGAAATTATTAAAACTCTTCCCCAACTCTCCACTTGAACTTCTGAACTCTAAATTTAAATCTGTTTACTCTTAAAAGCCCCAAAAATTTTCCGTTGTTAAATAAAAGTGAAGTTAAACCTAAATGCAACTATAATAACAATTTGAATTTTTCTATTGCAGACATTATTAATGAATTTATTAATCTAAACCCTTACAAATCTTTTGGACTTGAAGGGTTGCACCCTTTAATACTTAAGATATGTGCCAAAAACTTTGCAATTCCGCTTACAAAAATCTTCTATGAATCTTTTAATTCTGAAATAGTACCAACTCTCTGGAAATTAGCAAATATTAGTCCGATCTATAAAAAAAAGGAGACAAACTACTTCCTGAAAACTATCGTCCTATTTCACTTACCTCTGTTGCGTGCAAAATATTTGAAAAAGTTGTAAAGAATAAAATCTTGAAGCACATCAATGATAACAATCTACAAATCAACATGGCTTTCTTCATCATAAGTCTTGTGTAACCAATCTAATAGAGACTTTTGATATTACTTCGTCTTCCCTTCGTCTTCGCACCTGTTTATAGACGTAATCTACCTCAACTTTGCTTTTGATTCCGTATCTCACACCAGACTCATGTTAAAACTAAAATCATTCGGAATAAACGACAAACTACTACAATGGATTAATTCCTTTTTAGTAGGCAGAAAGCAACGTGTTACAATTAACAATACTAGCTCTGACTGGGTTGATGTTCTTAGTGGTGCTCCTCAAGGTTCTGTTTTTGGACCGCTCCTCTTTTTTCTTTTTACAAACGATCTTGCCTAACTTACAGAAACTTCTGAAGTATTTGCAGACGATACTAAACGTTTTAATAAAACTTTATCGCAGACTAATTTCGTTGATCTGCCAGGCAGTCTACGCTTAGTATACGAGTGGTCAAACATTTGGTTGCTAAAATTAAACATTTCAAAATGCTGTGTTATCCATTATGGTAAAATCAATCCTATGTGTACCTACTTTTTGCAAAGTAACCAAGGTATAAATGAAAGCCTAAGAAGCTCTATTAAAGAGCGCAATTTAGGAGTCATTTTTACATCTAACCTCAAGTGGAGTACACATATTCAATCAGTTGTCTCCAAATCTTTACAAATTCTTGGTATGCTAAAAAGGACATTCACCATTGTTGATGAAAAACTGGCTCTCAAATTATATAAAGTATTTATAAGACCACACCTTGAATATGCAGTGTCTGTTTGGGCCCCGTATTTAAAAACTAACGTAGCTTTGGTTGTATCTGTTCAACGTAAAGCAACAAAATGGGCTTTGAACTTGAGAAATCTTCAATACTATGAAGGACTTAAAAGACTAAATCTACCACCACTCGTGTTTCGGCGCCTACGATGCGATCTAATACAAATTTTTAAACTAATACATCGATTTGATATAATTAATAATATATATTAACCAAAATTTATTAACTCATTGTCACGTGGTCACAATCTTAAAATAAGACGTGAATATGTTCCAAACTGTCTTCCAAGACACAACCAATTATATAATAGATCAGCAAAATACTGGAATGAACTACCCGAGCAAGTAACTTTATACTCAACTGTTCTTTCTTTTAAAATTAGATTAGATCACTGGTTGAGGATAAAATTTGGAACATATATTTATAAAACTGGTTGTTTATAGTAGGGTGTTTTCCCTGCTTGCTGTATGTTTATATGGTAAGTATATTTTACGGCTACAACTATAATAATAGTAATAATTTTGTTCTGAAAGAAATAATATAAACACCAATAAAATATTTAACCATATGACATTAAATGAATTATTGAAAACTTTCTTCGATTTTAGATAAAACGCGCCAAATGATAAGCTTGGCTAAATTTTAGTTATTTGTTGTCACTTTTTATCCAAAAAAAAATCGAAAAAGTAAACTTAAGATAAATTTTACTAAATATACACATTGTAAGACCACTTTAAATTAAAAAGAAATTTATTTAAACTTGATTCTTAACTGAAACATGCAATATTTATGTCAGTAAAGCAAATCGCTATTTTTTTATTCATAAAATAATAAAGGTCACGTGATTGTATTAAAATGTAAACAAATATAAACGCATCAAAATAGAAAAAATGTCGTAAACCAGCCAAGTTTGAAGACATATTTGGTAACATAGTAAGACGTATAAATAACAATTTTTGGATTTTCGTGTGCATAAAGGATTGAAAATTTGTTAATTTTGGTGATACAAAAAAATTATATTTTGCATATAAAAGCCATAAAAACAAAAATATAAATGAATTAAAAACTAATTTTAAAAATAAATTATTTACGATCACCAAAAATCAGATAGAATAGACATTCATGGATAAATGTTCCAAATTTCAACCATGAACCATGTAGCTATGTTATCAAATCTTGGTTGGCCTAAGACAGGTTTTTCGTAAAAATAGTTAAAACACAAAAGTGATCCCAAATCATTTAAAATATTTTTAAATGTTTATTTTTATTTTGTCTTATGTAAATATTTATTTAACGAAGAAAGATAGTTCTTTTATATTTTTTTAATTTGAAGATTAAAGTGTGTATTGAAAAAATATTATATTATTTTAAAGTTAGTGAATTTTTATACTTTTTATGCGGAAACACTTTTTTTTTTTTTTAAAACACAAAAATTCTTGTGACGTCAGGCTCTCTTTTATATTGAGTGAAACAGCCGTGCTGTGCGGCACTTTTTGTAGCAATAAAACTCAACGCCTTTTACGTATCGCTTTGGTATGCATTTTTGACATAGCCAAACCTTGCAATTTGAATTTTCACACTGGTACCATTCCATAATTTGACTTGCTGAAGTTTCGCCCAACACTTTTCGGTACTTTTTACACTTGAATTGGTTTGCAGCTAACATTTTTGTTGAACTAATTGGTTTGCAGCTAATATTTTCGTTGGTTTATTTTCTGTTCTCCATTAGAGCTAAGCTTAGGTTGTTTTTTAGCTTGCTTTGCTGCTTTTTTGCTCTCAGCAAGTATTTTAGGTTTGTTTAGACACTCCCCTTCGAATCTTGGCACATCTATATATATATTTTTTTGTGTGTCAGCATGTTGAATACGAAACATATGTTGAAAAGCTGATCCAAGTGATTGGGTTGATTGCAGTTGTTTTGTAATCTCTTTTTGAATTTCCTTTTGAATAGCCGGAGTTATTACAATATTGAAGGTTGTTTGCAGACAAGGTGACTTTTGAGATGACTTTGGAGCTGATACTATGTGACATATACTGATGCTAGATGTTGTTGGTATAGATTCAGAGGGCAGTGGCTGGAGTAGTGTAGTTCCTGGTGCTAGATTTAATGATGGCACTATCATAGACTCTGGTTGTTGAGATGATGAAGGCTCAGGTTCAGATCTCGGTGTTTCAAATGTATTAGAAATTTGCAACTTTGACCGATCAATTTTATCAATGTTGAATGGAAACAAGCCAGTATTCTGAAACCTAGTGACTATCTGGGTACGTGTAAAAACTTCCCCAGAGCTGAAAGGTTTTGTGGCAAAAGACTAAAACATTCTTTTGATAAGTTGCTAAACTTTGTCTCTGCATAAAACTGTTGAAGTAATTTGCGCCAAACTCTTTTGACATGGCAATAAACACCAACACCTAAAGGCTGTAGAATGTGCGACGAGTGAGCTGGTAAGCAAATTAACAACCCAGTGGGAAAAAAGACATCTTTAGACGAATAAAAGGCGTCTTTTCAATGACTTGTTATGTCTTTAATAATCAGCCAAAATAAAGACGTGGAAATACGTCTTTTAAAAAGACGTCTTCAAAAAAGAGGTTGAAAAGACGTCAATCGGTTGTTAATAAGGAAATCATTATTTGCTTAAGAAAATTAAAAATAGTCATTGCCAATAGAACCTAACAAAAATGGGTTTTAACCCACAGTATTGTTATTACGATATCTTTGTTACGTTCTGATTGGCCCCTTTTTTATAGCGGGTTTATTTAATAATTTATATAATAAAGCTATATATTATAAAAAATATACATGATATAAATGCATATATATATTATAGTATATATATATATATATATATATATATATATATATATATATATATATATATATATATATATATATATATATATATATATATATATATATATATATATATATATATATATATATATATATATATATATGTATATATATATATATATATATATATATATATATATATATATATATATATATATATATATATATATATAACTTATATATATAACTTACATATATATGTTATTTCCGTGTTAACTGTTGTCTGTCATTAATAAAGCAATTATAAAAATACACACAATGACAACAGATTTTTCTTTAGAAATGTTCGCAAAATTTTTGGTTTGGATACAAAAAACAAAGTAAAAATGATACTGGAAAGGTACACTTTCTTATATCTAAACATCATTGCAGCTTTCTAGTCTTCATTTTTGTTTATGTGTATTTCATCTGTGTTGCTAATGATATCGCCAGTTTTTGTGATTTTATGTTGTTAAGCAAAGCATCCTAATGTTTCAGGCTAAAATAGAGCTTTGACTAAAAATTTTTCTAGTTTAAATGAATAACTACTCTCAAGGTATATTAGCTGAATTATCTCTTTGTTTTGATAGTCTTTAGTCAATAACGGATTTTTAAATTGTTATGAGTCTACAACACTTAATTTCAGCAAAATTCAATTAAAAAATCATGTTATAGAAGACAGAAAAATATCAATATCTGTTTTCAATAACTTGGCTTTCATAGCAAATCTGAGAGGTGCAAATGTTTAGCTTGATTTAAATACTACATAATAAAATACATCGTTGTACAGTCATTTTGATGGTTGTAAATTTATTTAGCACACTCATTTTTATATATTTTTAGACTGTTTACCGTTTAACTCCTGTCCCAATCTAACCTAGTGGGTTCAAAAAGAAGGGACCGCGCTGGAAACATTAATTAATAGTCGGTAAGTATAATGTGCTCCATTCAGCTAATTAAGTTTCGTTTGCTTTTTTTGTATTATATTTAAGCAATTGACTGTTTTTTATGTTCACTCGTTTTTTAGAAGTGGTAACCAGCTAGAAGTCGTAACCAGCTCGTATGAAAGGATTTCTCGACGTGAAATAGTTAATTTTATTCAACAAAGCCAAGAAACAGAGCTCGCTCAAGAAACAGAAAAGAAAGAGAAAGATAAAAAAATATTCTGTTGAACAATACTATTGTTTTATTTATAAATTATTCTCCTATATTTAAACATATAAAAGTTGTAGAAAATGCTTCCTCTTTTATATTGACATCTAAAAGAGGTTTTTTTCTCAGCATCGAAAAAAGCTTTTTGTCATACTTTTTATGAAGAGCTATTATCATTTTCCTTTGAAAAAAATAGCTTTTCATATAAGAAAAGTAGGAATACTATAGTGTATAGGATACTATAATATACTAATAAGTATGGCAAAGTCGTTCCGACCCCGAGAAAAAACACTTTTTTAGATTTGCAAATTCGACTAAAAAAAGGCGTCTTATAGACGCATTTTTTATTTCTTTTCATGACAAGATTAAGATAAAAAAGACGTCTTTTCGATGTCGAAAAAAGATGTCTTTTAGATTTGCTTAATCGATTAAAAAAAGACGTCTTAAAGCATGGCCTACTTTATAGAAGGCCTCGACACCGTGCGGGAATTTTTTTGACTGAAGGCCGATTTAAAAATAAAATGGCGGTTTATTAAAAGAGAAAAATGCTGTACAGCTTTGCTAACACTAATTATTCAATAACTAATTATTCTATATGAAAAAATTTTGGATGCATTTTTATAAAATGAGTTTCTTGACGTTAATTTGACAACTATTTTATAAGCTTAAATAGTTTGTAAAGTTGAATAGAAACATTTTAAATCAAATTTTTGAATATACAAGAAATAATAAATAATCAGAAAAATACACCAATAACAAATCTAATTTTTTTTGTACTAAATCTTCCCAAAAAAAAATTACATAAGCTCGATTTTTTTTAGTTTTGCTTCTTTATTACTCTTGGGAGTGTGAAGTAATGCAAAGTTCTTTAAAAAAATGTTTGCTAGTGTTTGGCATTGTTTCTTTGCAATAGAAAAACTATACAACTCTGCAATAAAAGCAAGCTATCGTATCAAAAATGTTCTGCAAACTTTTTTATCTAATAAAGAAAAAAATATGTAACAAAATAAAGACCACTGAGATAGAGTATCAGATGGAATAGTTAATCCTCCCCTATTTAAAGTATTTAAATAAGTTCCATATTTTTCATAATATGTAGTTGTATCTTCACCAATTTCTTCAGTAGAACACTTTTGAACATAACCAGCAATATAGACAATAGCATAAAAAATTTCTATATTTATACTATCTTCTAGATCGGTAAATTATATCAATTTCCATATCATCTAAATCTTTAAGACATAAAAGACAGTCATGGCCATCATTTCCTTCTACTTCGATATTCAGCTGTAGCACCAGCTTAGCATGTTGAGTACGTACTTTTTCGATAACTGATTTAGCAGTTATAAAGTAAGTACCACCAGAACCTTGCCGTAGTTTTCCGAAACATTTCTCAAATGGATCACTAGAAAACCAACCTAAAAAAAGATACTCATTTCCACTTGATAAAAGATGACAAGACAAATCAATTAGTCCACGACAAGTGTGTGAAAGTGCATTGCTTGTATCTCTCGTAAGCTAGCGAATTCGTTTACCAGATGTTGGTTTCATATATTCTGCCATTGTTGCAATAGCAAGTAACTTTTTTAAATTAATGTCATCTGAAGATCTGATTACATTACGTGACTCATCCCTAAATCTAGCATTGGCACCTGGGCATTTAACATTCACTATTTTCCAAAATTCTATAATCAACTCCAAAAAAATAATATTACTCTTGACATTTTCTTGGTCTATTTTAGGATGAGTTTTTAGAGCTGCAACTGTCTCTTCACTAAATACTTGTAAACAAGTGCTTACTTTTTGCCGTTCTATTGGTTTAGGATTTATTGATGTTTCAGTCAATCTGGATAACTTTATTAATTGGTTTTTTTTAAGTGTATATAAGTTAACTAAATTTCTCCAATTTGCAATGTAAGTTATCTCATTTTGAGTAAACTGTAACTGACCTAGTTTTACCGTCAGCCAATTGTTTCTTATGCACTTTAAAAGATGGACATAGTCATATAAAATATAAGAGCCATTTTGACATAACCAAGGTTTTCCGTCTACAGTTTTGAATTTAGAAAAAAAGCTTTGATTAACTTTATTTCCATCTGTAATAATTGCAATAACTTTACCATTACTCATAGAACTTTCTATGGTGTCTACAATTAATTTGCACTGTTCTTGTTGGAAATCTGATGTCAGATTTCTAACTGGTAAAACTCTTGCTAGAAATTCAGGTCCACCATAAAGGCTTTTTACCATGAATGAAAGTACAGTAGTAGATAATTTCTCTGAATTATTAACAGCTTTTCCAAAAATACTTCCACTTTGATATAATAATGCTGCTTTTACATAAACTTCATCTATTAATAAAACACAATTTATTTTTTTTTTATCAAGGTTCGATAACACAGAACTTAAAAAAGTTAAATCATCTTGAGAGTTTATTTTTGAAGTTATGCGTGTCAAAGTTCGAATACTTGGCAACTGATAATCATAACATAATCGATGGTAAGTGGAACGACTTGTTGCAAAATATTCAAAAGCTCTGGTTATTATATCTGGAGAATACACAGCACAGCCAACAGTATGATCTCCCATTACATTTAAATGCTCAAACATTACTTGAGTTTTATGATCCTTATCTTTAACTTTCAGATATCTAAGGGCTTCATTTAAAGATGACTTTGTACAAAGGGAAGTGATTCTGTTATTTGCCAGAGATTTAATAGTACATTTTGAACCAAAATGAAATGCTTCGAACGACAAACTTTGATTAATTATTAGCAAAAATAGTGGAACACCACAATTAAATATTTTAGATTGGATGAAAATTGAATTATTTTGCTTGTATGAAATCAAATCATTATAAGTTGATAAGTGTTTTTGGATTTCTTCAAAATTTAAATTATCAATTGTTTTATATTCTTGTACATCATCTTTTCTGATACCTCTTTTTGAAGAAGAAGATAAAGTCTTTCTTGTTTTAGGTGGCCGAGAGGATAGACAACTTTTAGATATATTTGGAAACACTGATGGAGGATGAATCGGTCTCAATTTACCACGACATAATTTAAACTCTGCATCATCTGCCCAATGCAATTTACAAACAACGGTGTATTTTGTTACGGTCCAATTTAAACGAGGGATGCTCATAAACCATTTAGTCTTTTCACATACTTCACGAGGAAATTTATACACAGATACATTACAAGCTGAAGACTAATAATTTGAGGAACAGTTTGGAACACAACATTTTAAAGGCATTCTAAATAATTTAAATTAAATTTACTTGAAGAATAGCTGTAAATTTTTCTGAAAAAACGTAACTAATATTTTACTCCTTTTCCAACCAAAAAATGTAACAGTTTTAAATCGGCCTTCAGTCAAAAAAATTCTCGCGCCTTCTATATGTCTTAAAGACATCGTAAATAAGACTTTTAAAAACGTCTTTTCGACGTCTTTTCGACGTCTTTTCAACGTCTTTTCGACGTCTTTTTTTTTATTGGGAAGAGAATAACTAGCGAATTTCATTCATTTATTACAACCATTTTATAAAAGCAGTAAGTAAAAAGTTGTTTAAATTCAGTTAGAAAAATTCGTTCATTGAAATTTATACAAAAAATTTATAGTTGGAGATTTATTGGTGACTTGAGACCTAATAAAAAAAAACCCCGTTTTTAAGCTATTGCTTCGTATTTATTTATTTATTAGCGAATTTCATTTAGCCCCGCTTCACTCAGTTTCCGTTTTTAACTCATAACTTTTTTTCCTAAATAGCAAATTTAATTTTGAAAAAAGATTCTTGATCAGCGTAAAAAGTTGTAAACATTTTAAGTTCAATAGCGAATTTAATTTCCGAGAGTTTTAAGTTCCTTTTTCAAACAAATAAAAAAAATCTTATTACTCATTCGAAAACTTATAAATTTATTACAAAATTTTTAATTAAAAATAAAATTTTATACAATCTTACTGAGAAAGATATTCTCTACAATATAATCAAAAAATATTTACAAAAAAGTTATTCAATAGTTAATTAAAGGCGAAAGAATAAACATTGTCATAACTATTTCGTTCTACCCGCTATTTCATTTTACCCTGTTTTACTCTACTCTCTTTTTCAAAACTATTGTCATTCTTTTAATTTTTTTTTTTTGCTTCATTTAATTAATGAATGAAAAAATAAGTTGTTTCAACTTATTTTTTCATTCATTCTATAACTAGATTGTTTTATTTTTTAATTGATTATTTAATTGGAACCGTTAACTATAAAAGCACCAAATAACATGTTTAATTGTTCAAAAACTAACGCTGAAGCTTTTCATACCAATATTAAAGTTTGCTACCGCGTTGTACACACCAAACTTCAAGTTATCGAGTGACGCATACCTGTCTTCGGTAATCCGTCCCAAATCATACTGTTGAACAATTCATTAGCAACCCACGCATTCTAACTTATTAACTTGAATGCCAGGGTAAGTGCCCATGTCATTAATGAAACTTGAGATGTTCCCCGTCTAATAAAAAATTATTAGCCCTTGGAATTAAAAAAAAAAAATGAGGTTGGAAATAATTTGCTGTCCTTAAACTGCTAGAGTTCAGCGAAAAAAATTAGACACAAAGAGTTTTACATGAATTGCCGCATGAAATTTTTATATCTCAGTAGATCTTAAAAATACACGTTTTTTACCAGTAAACTCCATACCGTTTGCAGATCCTTTGTAATTATTTTCACAAATGTGAGAGTTCTTCCATTTGGCATAGGCTGTAGGTTTTGTTTTTAAAAGATCTTTCTTCAAATGGCAACCTTTGCAGAACCTATACATTGGTTCCATATCGAAAACTTTTGAAGTGTCCATTGACAATGCAGAGAAGACACCGTTTAATGATGAAAAGCCTTTTCTCTGCCAAGTACCATCACACGACACACTAATAACAAAAACGTAAGCATTAGCAGCATGTTTACGCAATTATGCTACTGCATCAAACATATTTAGCAACTTTTTGAGTGAACCCTGAAGCACCTATTTTCACAGCTAATTTGTCATAATTGTTTTGCGTCATTGGCTGTGGCATATTCATTAAAGTGGTGAATATTTTTATACCAGAATGTCCCTGTCCAAAAGCACCCATTGTGAATACTGTTCTACAATTAATATTATATTCTCTGTTATATTGTTTTTAAATATAAAACTCATTTTCATGTTTACAGTTAAAGCAATTGATAAGTAACTTTGAGGCAAGTCTTTTTTTGTCTTGCATTTTTTGGATAATGACATGGATAAACACTCGCTACATTGAGGACATGCTAAAGTACTAAACATGTCAGATAATATAGAGCAATCTATAATCCTATATCCAGATATTTTCTGGAACATCGAATTGGCTTTATCTTCTTCGCAGATATAGATGTAGAAAATAAATTTAATCCAGATTCGTTATTGACAATTGTAGTATTTGAATCAATCAAAATTGTTACAGCAGGATTATCATTCAACTCCATTTCAGTATTTTCTTTGTCGAGACTGCTGAATTTTCTAAAAAACCTCTCCTGTTTTTTTTAATTTACTGTTCTTGATTTTATTCAACGTGCTTACTCATTTTTTAAAAAATATTAAGAAAATTGACAACTTCAAAAGCTTCAAAATAACAGAAAACTGTAATCTGACTTGATAAACCAGACTTTTTTCGCTCTCTGGATAAGTAAAGAAGACAAACCAAGCATTTCACTGCAGCTATTTAAGAATACAAATTAGTTAATAGGAATTTAAAGGAGGTGCTACACCGTTGCTATGGGGTTGCTAGGGTTTAAATTTTGAGTTACATTAAGAAAATGCAAAATTTGAAGGAGTTAATGATGAAAAATAGTTTAACTAAAATAATTCACTAAAATGCATTTTGGATAACTTTAGAGGAGGTTTCCCTATTAATGGCTACTTTACCCTAAGAAACTAAAATCTTTTAAACCTTTTATGAAAATGGTTTATATCTTTTTAAAAAAAATGGGATAAAATCAAGAAAATAAGGAATTTTAATTATTATGCTACAGAAATTTAATTATATACTATATTATATATAAAATTATTGTATGTAAAGACAAAATAAAAAAACATTAAACAAACTACAGTCATTTCACACTCCAGAAACGTCTTTTCCGTGACATTCTTGAATGTATTTTAAAACATTCTTTTTGAATACCAGCAGTAACCCACCATAGTGAAATCTTTTACCTTGCTCCTCACTCATAAGTTCTCCTCACCTAAGTTTTTAGGAGAACGGCCTAAATGGCTGTGTAAATAGTGCACCTTAATACTTATATTACATCCAAGGGTTTTGAAACTGCTAAGCACCTTGTTTAACGTAGTTTTCATCTTTGCGTTTGTCCGGAAAATTTCTGACAACTGCAATAAATGAAATCCAAGCCTTTCGATCAGCCTCATTATTCATTGAATTTACTAAGGCAGAGTCTGTCTTTAAACTGCACTCTCATATTTACGAGCATAAATCTATAAAATATCAAAGCATTAAAACTTGGAACAACCTTTCTTATGAACTAAAAGCTCTCAACTCATTCTCAACCTTGAAGACCAGTTTATTATACTTTTTATTAAAAAATATAGTTAATGTTTATAATTTCTATAATCAACTTTTGTTGTTTTTTTATTTTTTAATTGATATTTTTTATTGTTATTTTTATTAATATTTACTATTAATAACTACTTTTTACTATTATTACTAATATTAGTATTGTCATTATTATTCTTTTTATCGCTATTATTAATATTACTACTATTATTATTAACAATGTTATTTTTATGTTATAAAGTTTATTATTGTTATTATATTTTGTGAAAATTAGCATTATATTTTAATTAGATATTATTAACATTAGTAGGTGTTTACTTTATATTAGTAAATGTACCATTTGTAAACCGATGATATATTAAAAATAATAGTTTTCTATATATCATTGTTGTAAACATCCTTGAATGTAAAATCTTAATTCAGAAAAATAAATGATTAATGATCATGAAAAACAAGATTTTGTTTTCACTCATATAGCTCATTTTCATGTTAAATAAATTGTTACAACAAATTTTTTAATAAGTGTTACTTAACAAAAAATTATTTTTAATGAATTTCCCAACAATATTGCAAGAAAATGCTATTTAAGATCAGCAATAATAAATTCATGTAAACTGTTGTTTTTGTCAAATTTTAAAACAAAACAATGCGTTTTTGAATAAATTTTTTTTATTTTTATTTTTTTATTTTTTTTTTACAACTTGAATAAATTTACACATCGTTACGTTATAACTACATGACATAATATAATCTCACGTAAAAATATAAGATAATAATACCACGTATAACATAGCATAATAAAAATTGGTTTAACAAGTATATCTAAGTATAGCGTAAATTAATAGTGTTTCTTATCATAAATGTTACCAGTATTTTAAAAAAATAAAAGAATAAAAATAAGAAAAGAAAAAAAAAAGTTTCCTTTACAACAACATTTCCTTTCCTAGTTTCCTTTACAACAACATGTATATACTTCAGATATATACATGTTGTTGTAAAGTAGGAAATATAGGTAGGAACCCCGGTAGGAAGTAGAAAACCGTGAGAACTTTGTTGTTCTTTTGGTCAGTGTGAAGTTGCCTGTTGCTCTTGTCATATACCTATTAGAGTTTACTTGAAAGAAGTTGTCTAAGAAATGCGATGAGACTAGTCCAAGTTTGTATTTAAGCATAAATAGAACATTTTGGTAGATGTTGATTTGGTAAACATTTAGTGCATTCAAAGTTTTTAGTGAGGGTTCAGCATGGGTTAGTTTATCTTTATTATAAACTAATCTTGATGCATGTTTTTGACTTATGTAAATAGTACTCAATTTGGATTTGCGTGTACTTGCCCATGTAATATTAGCGTATGTAAGATAACTTTGGATGTAAGAAAAATAAAGCGATTAAAGATTATATTGGGATAACATAGGTTTAACTTTGTAGAGTATGCCAATATTTTTTGAAATTTTGGTGTTAATTGAACTTATATGGGCTCTCCAAGATATATTTTCGTCAATTAGTATCCCAAGAAATTTAGTTGTTTCTGTTCTTTCATTATTTACCTTATCTATTTTTAGTGAGGGAAGGGTAGTTGGTATATTGTTTTTTGGAATGAAACAATATGTATTTAATTTAATCTTTTAAGCTCTTTGTTCATACATTCATAAAAGTCTTTGATTGAGCTCAATGAATAAAATAAGTTTGTATCATTGGCAAACATAATTAAATTAAGTTTTTCCGAGGCTTTTGTAAGGTCATTAATATATAGAAGAAACAGAAGAGGTCCAAGAATGGAAGCTTGGGGGACACCGCACTTAACTCTTAGTAGTTTTGAGTGTTTATAATTATCTGAAAAGACACATTGTTGTCTGTTACTTAGAACCAGTTTTTGAACCAGTCAAGGGTTATGCTTTTTATCCCATAGCTTTCCATTTTTTTAAGTAAGATATTGTGATTTACAGTATTAAACGCCTTCGACAGGTCTATAAAGATGCCTAGAACATACTGTTTTTTATCAAAAGAATCACTTATGTTGTTAACTAGATCTAGGATTGCGTGTTCAGTTGAATATTGTTTTTGGAAACTAAATTGCTTTTTATTGAGGATTTTATTTTGGATTAAATACTCATACAATCTGTTATAGACTATTCTTTCGAGAAGCTTAGAAAAGGTAGGGAGTACTGAGATAGGTCTATAGTTATTAATTAAGTATGATTCACCTGTTTTAAAATTTAAAATATTGCCAATAGTGAAGGAAAAGCAAGTAAAAATATTTAAAAAGGTAACCGTTTTACGGAATTAGTTTTAAATATTTTTAAACTTCAGTTTGTAAAATGTTGTATTATTTGCCTAAAATTTATTTGCAATCCTTTAGGTTACTAAGATTGTATGGTCGAGGTAGCCTAAATATTTTTGGATGTCGTTATTTTATTTGGTGTTCATGACGATTAGTAAATTTATTTTGTATTTTTTTAAGTATTGTTACGCAGTTGTTATTTTTTGTTATTTTGCATTTTTCATCGAAACTTTTATATTTCTAATAACATTAAAAACGTCTCGCGAAAAGATATGAAATATCCACATAAAATCTTAAACTCGTTCTTAGGCATCCCAATTAAAATTATAGAACCTCTAATAAACTTACATATATGAAGAATCATACAAAAAAACTTACATATATAAACAATCCAAAAAATCGCACCAAGAAATTTTTTTTTTTTATATCAGAAATATTTAATATGCAGGTTTTAATGGGAGGCGGTATCCTGTGTTACATGCAATAAACAATAAAAAATCTAATTTGTAGTATAACTCTTAAATATATACATTAAATATAAAATGAAAAAATCAATTCTACACAATATACAGAGTATTATTTGAAAGCAACAATATTAAGGAGGCAACTGAATAAGATCTTTGCCAAAAAACTCACTAGGAGTAAATGTTCTAGAGAATTTATTTTCGTTCATATTTTTTGAAAGTTCTGGTGTTTCTTGAAGAGGAGCAGAAAAAGCTTCACCCGACACAAACTTTGCACTTGCAGCTGCTAACATATCTAAATCAGGGGAAGAAACAACTCCTCTTTCTTTTACGTTTGCAGTTTGAGGAGACTTTTTATCTGGAATCGTGCTGGGAGTAGTATTTTGAGAAGATTCATTTAACTTTGATAACATTGCAGACAGGGGATTAGTATTTCCATTCTCACTGTCAAAGGAGACAGCTAGACGGGAAGTTAAGCCCAGCAAGCGGTCTCGTCTAGATTGAAGTTCAGCAAGTTTCTTTTCCAACTTCATGTTGTCAGATTTCAAGTATTGTAAGCAAGACAAAAGTGACGCAACTAAAAAAATATTGGCTAGTCATAGTTCATATATATTAAATACACTTAAGGGTCTTCCAATAAGTACTTACGCAGGTATAGGGAAAAGAAAGGGGGAGGGATACCCTCAAAGGTTGACTTCAATTCATTTAGCTTCAATTCATTATTGTAAACTAGCTTTGGAATGGTATAAAAATAATGTGAAATTTGTGCCTAAAACAGAAAATCCTCCAAACTGCCCAGAATTAAGAGTTATTGAAAAGTACTGGGCCATTATTAAAAGAAAAATAAAAAAAACAAAAACATTTAAGATATTAAAATATCATTTAAAAAAGCATCAAATGGCTTCAATTTTTATTCTGTGCAAAAGCTTATGGGTACCACCAAAACAAAAGTTAGAAATTTTATTAGATTCTTACAGGAAAAATTTGATTTTTTTTTAGATTTGATCTTTTTATATTGTTGTATTAAAGTTATTACTTGGTTGGAAATAAAAATTGAAGAGTACTTTTTTTTAGTTCTTTTTCTACTTTCACATTTATTTCGTGTACACGCTTTATTATATTTTCAGATTATTAAATGGTCCACTAAATATTGACTAAACATAGTTAACAATAACATAAAAATATACCGTCGAAATGCTGTGTCTTTGATGTAATAAAATGTATGGTATCATTCCACTGCTGTTCAAGAAATTCCTGAAAATTGTTTGCAGGTTGTTTTCTAAAATAAATAATGGCAATAAAAAATTAGCAGATAAAAGACCGCAGAATAATCAGCGGATTATAAAGACTTAAATATATTCATTTTTATTTCATAATAAAATAGTTACTTATATTCTAAAGTATATAACCTCAGTTCGTCAAGTAGAACACCCAGGTCTTAAATAGGACACCAGCACTCCTCAAGTGGAAAACTCAGATCTTAAATAGATACCAGACTCCTCAAGTGGAACACTCAGGTCTTAAATAGACGCCTGGGCTCCTCACTTATTAAATATATTTCTTACCCTATATTTCTAAAGCATCCTGTTTATGAAAATTCAGAAACAATATACCCTCTCTATTTGAAGTTTAGGAGATGTTAACTTACATACAGCAAAATAAAAGCTATTTAGCCACCTTTTAAACAACAAAGTAACCTTTAAAATTATTAATTCCCAGCCTAATTTTTATTTAGTTAAACATGCTTTTTTGGATTATATAAAAGAATTATGCAACATTAAGTTAAGAAGATTAAAATTAGAGATTTAAAAAATGTAAAGTAGAAAAAAAATCAAAAAGTTTCTTACTGATTGGATACAAATTTATCCCATGATCCAATTTTTCCATTTTCAACAAGATTAATTTGTGATGGTTCAAATAACACGCTTTGCTCTTTGTTAGTTTCTTCTTTTTTTTTCTCTCCTTCATTTTTGCTTCTTTTCTTTTTAATTAGTTTCTTGTTAGGGTCATTTACATGTTTGTTTTTAAGTAAAATTTCTTCCTTAATAGCACGTTTATTTTGAAGTAAGCTCTCTTCTTTAGTTTTTCTTTTGTTTTTTTTTACATTGTCTATATTACGAATAGATGAAGAATTTTCATTATCTTTTAAACATGAAGTTGTGGTAGGCGTATTTAATGGAGAAATTTGCTTAGGTTTTTCTTCATTTAGTAAATCGTTTATACTAAACAAGTGTTTTGAGTTAAAAGAGTTTGAAGAAGTTAATTCAGAATCAATGTTTTTTCTTGCTTTTTTTGGGTCTGATAAACTAGAGGGACCATCACCTGTGGCAGGTGATATTTCATCTACAAATTCTACAACATTTGTTAGAGTGTGTAAATCAGATAGACGAAACTTAGAAGATTGTTTATTTTTACTAGTAGAGTCAAGTGAAGTGTTGCTAGAAGTACTTTCATTTCTAGAACGCGACTTTGTATCTTTGAAATGTTTTTTAACTTCAGATTCACTGACATATGTAGATTGCTGAGCTTGTTTCTGCTATAAAAATTTATATTTGACAAATTTTAAAATTTTAAAATATTATACAGTGAATTTGAAAAAAACAACAACAACAACAAAAAAAACAACAAAAAAAAAATTACTTAAAAAATTTAAACCTTTTTACAGGAATGATTTGAACAATATCCAACATATTGAACATTCCCATTCACACTAGCTTCCTCACATAATAGTCTTTTTGATTGGGCACTATGCAATTAAAAAAAGTAATTACATAAATATTTAAGATATTTATGTAACTATAGTGATCATACAATAATTTAGTTTATCAGATATTGCTTCAACTTTAATAAATACCATGTCACATGAAAAGACAGCTTGCATCCTATTTTATGACATGCCATACATGCACCACTTTTGGATTCTCTGCCACTATCCTCACAAATATAACACAGCTGTAACAAATAAAAAATAAATATTCCAGCAACAAATGTGCTTAATTATCTAAAAATCATTATCATCATCACTTTGTCAATTTTTTATGTTTATCATTACTTTACAATAAATCAAAAATTTTAAACAAAATCCATAAAACAAAGCTTAGAAAATACAAAAACAAAGTAATAAATGAAGTTTACAATATTTAATTGTAAAGGAAATAATAAAACCTTAATATAATAAACATAAAATGGATATAAAAATATCAAATAAGACAGCAAAAAAGTGGTGGACAGAAAACTTAAAAAAAAACTAATATTTGTCAGGAAAACATGAAAACTGAAGCGAATTAAAGATATTTGGTGGAGAAAAATCTATAAAAAGCTTATTTATGGATGATTACAGTAAAAAATACAACTTTGCTGAATAACAAATTAAGTGAGATTAAGTTTTGGTTGATTGAACGAGTGATGATAGCTCATTTAAGAAGCAGCCATGCTTTTGTAGAAAAGAGAAACAGTTTTAATTTTGCAATTTCAAAGACAGAGACTCGAGCTGATTCAACAATAATTTTTGAGCTATCTAAAATATAATCAATCTTATTAAAAAAACTCAATAACCTCAAAGCTCAAATGACAAAAGTATTTTATTCAAAGATGAATAAAAGATTAATAAAGGTAGAGAATGGAATCAGGAATAAAAATGAACTTGATAAAGAGAGAAAATGGAGAGTAATAAATAAGACAATAACATTAAAAAATAACACTAGTTTAGAAAAAACGCTTCCAAACATTATTACATAAATGGCAGACAACATACTGTCTTTTTCTTCCTTAAAATTTCTGATTTTTAGCCAAATAATAACTTTATATTATCCTAAATATCTTATCCTTAAATTTCCTTTTAAAAAAAATACATTACCAAATGATTGTCTTGATATTTTTACATTTAATTGTAGAAATTACAAAGAAAACTTTTTTAAAATTCAAATCATATTAAATTTCAAGCTAAAAATCCAAATAATATATCCAAATAAATCCAAAAAATCCAAATAAAAAAAAATCCAAATAATATATAACAAATTTAGACACAAAATTTAAAATATATCAAATGATGCTTCATCAATTTTGTTTGCATCTGATAAATGGAAAAGGAGAGAGTTGCCTTAAAGGGATCTTAAACTCCCAACATATGTTGTGTTGATATTAAAGATAATGTTAAAAAAAAAGGTTTAAACCAAGTTTTTTTGATTAAAAATAAATAATGAATGCATACTGAGAAAAACTAACGTTGTTGTTTTAGCGGAAGCTTGACTTTTTTTCAATAACTCAGAGTCTCCAAATTATACGTCGCAATCTACAGACTTTGGCGATTCCTTTGAAGTGGGTTTAATTCATAAAAGTTTTAGTATTTGACGTCACAATAGACTTTTAACAAATAAAACTCTGGAAATATTTTTATTTATTTTTATTCGAACTTTTTTTTGATTATTAGTTTAGTTTTTTTTCTTTCTATTTTTAGCATTTAAAAAGATATTAAAAACTAAAACAAATATTTCATGCTGGTTCGTTGCTATAAATTGTTATTGCGCCATATATTTAATGTTTATAAATTATGAATATTTATTATCTCAATCAAGACTCTGATAAAAAATTGTTTTACATTAATTACCCATATAAAATTAGTAACAGTATTTTTATTTGGTTAGACAATATTTCGTCTTAATTTGCTTTAGATGAAGTTCGGGAAGTCAAATGAAAAAAATCAGTTTGAATAATCACTTTGAAATATATTTAAAATAAATTGTTTTAATGACGGGGGTTTGAAAGTTTTTCATAACAAATGTAGATAAAAAATAAATAACTAAATGAAAAGTTCAACATTAAACATCATTTCTTTATTATATTGCAACTGTAAATATTGAAATATTAACTTGAACTAAATTTATTTATTATTTAGAACGACTAAGCAATAAAAATAAAAAGCCCCTAAAATTATGCGATATTGTGTTGTTTATTTGATTATTGTTGTTGGTAATGTTGTTTATGTTGATTATTTTCTTTAATATCAAAATAGTCCCAGATTAATCTGTTAGTTGCTTTGTTTATTGTTGATTTATTTCTTATTTAATTTTATCTCTAAGTATAAATTTATGTTAAGAAAGAAAAGTTTTTATTTCATCGCTTTTTATAAAAGAGTAGAACAAAAGAGAAAAAAAAGTTTTGCGTAATTAAACTTCGAATGAATAAGAGTTGTATAGAATTTTTTTTTGCATCACTCGTTCTTTTTTTAGAGAGAAATAAAAGTTTAATAGTAACTTTTCTTTGAATAAATGAAAATTTGAAGAGAAAATTGCTTGAAAATTTGTATTTGTTAATTGTGTTTAAAAATTTTTTAATTTTTCATGTTAAGAGACAAATATGAAACAAATCGGGAAATACCAAATATAATATGTTTTTTAACACGCGTTATGAGATTTTGACAATTTAAATTACCATTTATCTTGAATTATTGCCATTAATTAATGTGTTAATTATTGCGTTATATAATAATAATTTGTCCGTATTTTTGTTAAATATTAGTTGTATAAAACAAGCGAAAATATACAAACTTCATGTTTTTTATTTGATGGTTATAAAACATTGAACAGTAAACTTATAATCAAAATTTATAATGTCGACTTGTGTTGCTATTAATTGTACTTTTAACACAAAACCAGGATCTCACATATCCTTTCACGAATTTTCATATCTGATACTACTGTCAACTGTATTGTTTAGTGTATTCTTGTAGTTTTTTTTCATAACCTTAACAGGTTCTAATTGGTATGGAGTTGCCAACATTTTAAAAGTTTCATTATTAAAAATCAAATGTAAAATAAAATGATATTTGATTTTTATTCATACTCAATTCAGCAAATTTAGCAATATAAAATAAGTCAGCGTAATCAATAAATTTTTATAATAAAAAAAGTTAACAATTCATCAAATATCTCTAATTAATACTGTCAGTTTATGAAATTAATTATTAATAAATACTTTTTTTCAACGGGAAAACAAAAAATATCATAGCGTAAAAATAGAGAAGGTAGAAAATAGTTCCCATTGTTTAAATAAAAATAAGTAAGATTCAGAATATATAACACTGCGCTTTCTTGCACAAAGATGAGAGACCGTATACATAACGTTCTATATAATGTAAAACACTCGCATGAAAATCATAAGATTCGTAAGTAAAGCTTTAATAATTGTTTTAATTTAAAAATAAAAGAATTATAAGTTAGATATATAAATCTAAAAATTATTAAGATATCGGTAAAAAATAGTTCTTCCTATGAAATAAAAAGCTTTTATTATTTTTGATTTTTACAAAAATTTGTTGTAAAAGTTGTTTTGCTGTATGTTAAAAAATTACTACATTATACTTTTTGAATTAAAGTAGAAAAATACAGCTTTGTTTAATTACACTTTTCTTTTGTTAAAAAACAACCGTGATGTCAAATGCTAAAACTTTTATGAATTAAACGTGCTTCAAAGGAATCCTAAAGTCTGTAGATTGCGACGTACAATTTTAAGACGTTGAGTTATTAAAAAAAATGGAGAAGGCAAGTTTTGGCTAAAACAACAACATTAGTTTTTCTCGGTATGCATTCATTATTTATTTTTAATCAAAAAAACTTGGTTCAAACCTTTTTTTTTAACATTATCATTAATATAAACAAAAGATGTGTTGGGAGTTTGGGATCCCTTTAAATTTAATAAGAAATAAATCTTTATTTCAACTAAAAAGACAATTTCAAGAGTTTTATTAAATATTATAAAACTTTATTAAATATTATAAAAGTGCAACCCGATAGTTTTTTCAATTTTATTTGACACATTAATGAACACATTAATATTAGAGTAAAACATAGATTTTTTAACACATTATATTATTGAAACCACCTGCCTTGATTAGATTTAGGCAAATGGTTTGAATAATATTAATTATAATTAAATTAATTTAATTAATAATTAAACATAATAAAAGATAAATAAAAATAGTTAAAACTAGTTTTAATTTTAAGACCTTTTTATATTTTATCAATTTAAACTGACCCGAAAAATGTTACAAAATAAATGTTAAAAACATCACAGAAAGTCTTTTTTAATCTTACAGTTTATTATTTATGTAACTTTTAAATTTACTTTTAACAACAATTATTTTGGATAATCATTGAAAATCATTAAAGTTTTTAAAAAGAATATTGGGATTACTAGGTAAAACAACTGAATAAAAAGTTGTTAAAACTTAAAATCTCATATAAGTTATACCTTGGTAAACCTGTCATGTGGAACTGATGATAATATTATTGGCTCCATAGTACCAACATCACCAAAGCGTACTTCAGGTATATATAAAGCACAAACAACATGGGCCCAACCTATAAATGAAAATAATAATACAAATAAAAACTTTAAAAAAATGTCTTTTAACACTACAACTAGTTTAAAAACAGAAGAGCCAAAAAAAGTTTGTACATTTATGAATTTCAATTGGCTATACTTTAAGAAACTTACCATAAGAAAAACAAAACAAAAATTTTACGCCTAGAGCTACTGTATTGCACTTAAATATTCAAATAAACATTCACTAATTATTTTTCTAATAAACAGATGTAAATAAAAAAATTTCTAGGGTTTCCTAGCTAGGGTCTATTTATAAAGAACAAAGTAATATTATCAAAATTTTTAATGTGGTGTGCAAGCTCACAAAATAAAATATTAGTATTATATTTTTTGAATTTTCCATAGCTACCCTGAAGATGGAAATCTTTTTATTTATTTAAAGTAAAAAAAAAATAACAAACCTCCATTATCTGTTTTCTTTAGCGCTCCATCTCGCATCGGACATAGCTCGCATTTCTTTGAAAAAAATTTTTTTTAGCTTATTAAGTATTATTTATCAAAATTATAGCATATTTTAATATTTTACAAGTAAATTGGTATATTACATTTACTTGTAAATTATTAGAACATTATTTATTATATTTTTAAGTATATTGCAAACCATTAAAGTTAATAACGCATGTTTATTACCAAATTGACTTTAAAATAAGAATAACGTTTAAAAAAATATTACAACAATAAACATTTCAAAACTAAATAAACTATCTTGTGTAAAAAATAACTCAGTGGTGTAATGTTGAAGTCTATAAAAATGGCAGTCAATTGCAGAACATGGTTATTAGAAAATTATAGTTACAACAGAGTACTTACTAATCAAATCATATTTTTAGATCATCTGCAAAAATCTGTTGTGATTATATTAACAAACTTTCATTTAAGTAGTTTTAAGAAATTTTGAAATTAATTTATTTTAAACTAGTAGTTTTATTTTCAATAAAATAAGGTAAAAAGAAGTGGCCAGTTGATCTGTCATGTTCCTCAAATGAAGTTTAGTGGTGCAACCAGGGATGTGAAGTTGAACTGTCATTTTTAGAGTACGACTCCGACTCCAAAGCAAAATTATTGAAAAATTCTTTGAATTCTTTAAAAAGTATATTGGGATAGTTGAATTATTTTAAAATTATTGAAAAATCTTTTTAAAGTTAAACACTTTGTACATGCAGGTGCAATAGCGAGAGTCGGAGTAGTGATTTTGTTTAGCGACCCTGACTCCACAGCCCTGGTTGCAACACATGTGATTGTAAAAAAAAAAAAAAAATTATACAATGTTTAAATCAAATCTTTATTAGCTAAAACAGCTAAGGCATTTTTGTGATGATTTGTTATGAGAGAGAGGGTGGGGTGGTGGATGCCCTCCAACTTTGTGGCTCAACATTTTTTTTTAGTTTTTTTTTTTTTAAATTAAAGGAATATCTGACCAAACCACAAACCTCTATTGATGTATCTACATGTTGATTTTAAAAACAACTGCACCTAAATCTTACTTACAATGTGTACACTGTTAACAAACTGTTATAGGCAGTTTATGTGCAGTGCATGTTCTGTGGTTTGGCTTTGTATGATCCAAGTGCAGAACTTTATTTAGTTAGTGCACTAAAGTGTGCAGCAACAAAAAAAAAAAAACTTTGAGCACTAACTAAAAAAGAATAAAAAGATTTCAACACCAAGTGAGGAACCTGAGAACCTTTTATTTGATGCGTCTCAGAAAAATACTTTTTCTGAGACGCATCAAATAAAAATAAACTATACTTAAAGCAGACATTTTTTTCAGGCACCCCTCTTTAGTAAGTAAGTAAAAAGTGAGTCACGCGTGAAGAATAATATTGAAAACAAAGCTTTAAACCCAGTGCCAAGTGTAGGCTACCCATACCCTGTAATTGGTGGGGTGGGGTGTTGTGGGGGAGCAGCAAATTTTATTCCCTTTTGCTATTTTCTTTTAGCAAAATCTAGCGGTGAAATTTGGAAGATTTTGAGACTCTAATGACACGTTTTTTTATTTAGAGGGGAGGGGCGGAGTGTCCAACCTAGATATATATATATTTTTTAATTATCTTCGCTTCCAACAAGGTTGCAAGCAACCACTTATTAGTGTTGGAAGTTACTGGAAGAGAAAAGATGAAGATTGTAGAGCAACATAACGATTGACAGACGACTTAAAATATTGCAAATTATATGAATCAGGAAAGCAAGATGAAGGAAGCGAATTCCAAAGAACTGATGTTCGAGGAAAAAAACTAGACGAATAAGAGTTTTTGGAGCACTTAGGAACAGTAACAGAAAAAGGATGAGACTTAATTGAATGACGAGTAACACGAGAATGAATTTTAGTAGATGGCACAAGAGACGCTAGCTCTTTAGAGCAGTGCCCATTATAGTATTTGTAGAAAAGAGAAAGAGAAGCAACATTACGACGATGTGACAGAGGTTGAAGGTTGGCTGCAAGAGCAGGTCCAACTATGTTTACAATGCGTATTTGCACCTTGTCTAAAAGAGAAAGGGCATCAATAAAAGATCCGCCCCAGATATGGCAACAGTATTTCATACAAGGCCAGATTTGAGATTTATAGAGATAGAGAATAGAATCCAGAGTAAGAAAGTGACGAGATCGATAAAGAGAAGCAACTTTAGCAGATGTTAATTTTGCAACAGATTTGATATAAGGTTTCCAAGAAAGATCAGAAGAGTTAATCCTAGAAGATGAAGGGTAGGAGACTCATCGAGTACATTACCGTTCATAAATAAAGGAAGGTCTAAATTATTGCGATAACGATTGGCCGAAAAAAATTGAGTTTTATCTGAATTAAAGTTCACCAGCCACTGCGAGCCCCATGCTACAGCAGAAGTGAGATCCTTTTCGAGCTCAGATGCCCCCTGCAAGCAATCAGAGGGAGTTGGCTTCTTATTGTGACAAGAATAAATGGTAGTATCATCAGCGAACAATGCCACCTTAGATGTGAGAATATCTGGAAGATCGTTAATGTAAATTAAAAAGAGTATAGGGCCAAGGATTGAACCTTGGGGAACCCCTGAGGTTACAGAATAAGAAGAAGAGTGCTGTCCATCAAGGACAACTTTTATACTACGATTGGAAAGGAAGGATTCAATAATCTTAAAGATGTTTCCAGATACACCATAAGAAGAAAGCTTATGGAGGAGACCAGCATGCCAAACTTTATCAAACGCTTTAGAAATGTCAAGAGCAATGACCTTAACCTCTCCACCTTTATCTAATGCGCAATAAAACCTATCGGTTATTACTGATAGCAAATCAGCCGTAGAACCAGAAGATCGAAATCCATACTGATGATCAGAAAGTAGGTTATGAGATTCGAGATTAAGTGTTTGTTAATTAAAGATTCAAAAACCTTGCTTATGATAGGAAGAAGACTAATGGGACGGTAGTTAGATGAGTCAGATCGCTCTCCAGAATTTTTAAAAATAGGGATAAGAGATGCTGCTTTCCAGCAGGCTGGAAAACAAGACTCTGATAAGCACTTGTTGAATAGTTTTGAAAGTATAGACGACAGCTCCGGAGAACACTTCTGCAAGACTATAACAGGTATGTTGTCCGGGCCGCAAGCTGTAGAAGAGTCTAAGCGGGAAATCACTTTAGATACAGAAGCTGGAGTGATATGAATGTCGAGCAATGGATCAACCTGTTTGACGGCTATATCAGGTAGAACGCAACTAGTGGCATCAAGAGATGATATTGATGAAAAGTTCTTGGCAAACAACTTAGCTTTGTCTTTAGGTGAGGTGACAAAGTCTGAACCATACAAAAGAGGTGGAATTACAGACTTGCCCTTATTATTGATATTATTAAAGATTCTCCAGAAGTCACGAGAGCCTAATTTTTGTGATGAAATTCGAGATTTCATGATCTGAGAATAGCGGGTTTTGGCATTAGACAAAACCTTTTTACAATGGTTCCTAGCAGTAATAAACAGACGTCTGTTTTCTGGAGAATTGTTTTGCTGATAGATATGGAAGTAATGGTTTCGATTGGCAATTGCAGCAGCACAATGTGAAGAAAACCATGGAGAAGAGTGAGGCTTGACCTGGAATCGTCGAGAGGGAATAAAGGATTCCATGCCAGCCTGAATCCACGAAGTTATGTAAGAAGCACATTTGTCAACAGGGAGACGAAAGATTTCTACCCAGGGGCCATCACGAAGAAAGTCACGAAAAGAGTCCCAGTCAGCTTTAAGGTAGTTGTAAGATGTACGATGATAGGGGGATTCTAATGGTGAAGAAGAATGAGATAATAGTTTTAGAGAGACCAAACCATGATCAGACGCACCTAAGGGTGAATGTGAAGAAACTGACCACTGACTAGGATCAGAAACAAGACATAAGTCGAGTAGAGAAGGTAAATGATTCGGGTTGTCTGGAAAGCGAGTTGGAAAGTTGACTAATTGAGTTAGGGATTGAGAAAGACAAAAGTTGTGGGCCTTAATGCCTGCAGAGTCACTGACAATAGAGCCAAGCCATTCAGTGTGATGAACATTAAAGTCACCGACAACAACAATATTGGCTGTTGGATAAAGAATGAGGGCTTGGTCAATATAATCAGAAATAACATCAAGAAGAGTGCAGTCTTGAGATGAGGGAGAGCGATATAGAACAAAGAGAAAGGTGATAGAGTGAAGTGGTGCTAAACGAAAGCACATAAAAGAGTAGTCTGTGGATTCAAACCTAGTTTCCCGACAAATGGGTGAATTCTTACGAATGTAAATGCCCAGGCCAAGCATGTGACTATTGGAGTCTTTACGAATTAAAGGAAGATAACCATCAACACTAAGATCACAAGATGAGACAGCTGAACTCAAATTAGTCTCACAAAGAGGAAGCAGGTCTGGTGAACATTTTAAGAGATAAGACTCAACAGAAGAAAAGTTACTTCGAAGACCACGAATATTGGTGAATGAAAGGTTTAGCGAACTTGGTGATGACTGTGGTTTTTTGTGTTTTATAGTTTTTGTTACTTTATTCATTTTTAAATTTTTTAAAGAACTTGACTCGAAACATTGATAGTACTCAGTACACTGTTCTATAGCTCAAGCAATTGCCTCATTTCCACTAATAAACCCTAAGCCGTAACAAAGGGCTCCAATGTGGCCTTGGCAATGCACACCAAAAGTACAAACAGGGACACCATCCATGCGCAACATGGCACTGTTAGTACTCTGATATTTTTCAGCTGTTGATGGAATCAGCCTCACTGAGAGCTACCACAGAGTTCGGGAAACCTGACTACCAGCCGGCCTCAGAACCATAAAACTGAGTTTTAGAGCTGTACCCTCATTTGGAGATAATAGAATAAGTTGCCTAGTCATAAAAACAGAGACACAAGCAAAATCCATGAATCGAGTCAAGAAGATCCAGCGTTCAACATCCTAAACTGGAAATAATGTATTAAAAATACATCTGCTGTATTTATTAAATGTATTAAAAAT